GGATGAACACCAGTAAGTTCAGAGATCTGTGATGTAGACTTGCCAACAGAAGGTGACTTTAACGCCACAATTAAGGTGCGGGTGTAAGGATCAGTATTAGGAGACATTGTAACGATAGATACAGACAAATCGTACAGCTACTCAGCTCAAAGGTGGGAGTTGCGCCAAGAAGAGTTATGCCGAAGCGCCGAGATTAGCGTGGGACAAAACTTTTGTGAGGCACCTCCGTAGAACTTGCCCTTTTCCATGGTATCCAATAAGCCCTGTGTGTTTTGTGCGCCGCATGGTAAGAAGTATGACGCTGGAATACGGCTCGGAGCACACGAGAGCAATAATTTCACCGCAGTACGCCCAACGGGGTCACCGAAGCCCGCGCCCCCCCTCCCTCCCTCCCTCTCTACCCTTGAGTTTGGAAGCAGACTTTGTAACGGGAATTATTCACGAGCACATGACCGCCTTTGTGAAGGTGAGATGTTGTTGACAGGAGTAGTGTCGAATCGGGTCCAGGGAATCGGCTCATATTGGATTTTCTTTCTTTTCATTCATAAGGTTGAAGCCAATAATTGGTACATGAGACATGTGTCTGAAAGAGGATCTTCCCATCGGATCCAGCACTCGTGACGTCATAACATTAAAGCTTATTTTCGTATATGCCATAGAGACCCTGTATTGGCTGGTTGTATGAGGGAATTTCACATGCTATTGCGGCGATTTGCACAATGCAGTTATGGATTTATACGTATGTGAGTAGATGCTGCATTAAGCAGAACCAAACAAGACGTGTGTACCTGCGTTGGGGGAATAGACTACCCAAGAAGGAAGGAGACTCCTAGCTTGGTGATGGATATCGATAGCTATCCCATGATGGCTTAGCGTGTAGCTACGTGATGCACCCCCCACCTTACCAGTTCCCCTCCACAGGCACACCAATGTTAGAGCTGCCAATTACTAAAAGAGAAAATGATTGTTGTATGAACAGTACTCCCCCTGCAAGAAAGAGAGATATCCCAACTTGGAACAATGCCGCAAAGCATTCCTCTAAAAGCGCCAAACGGTCAAGAATGGGAGCAGCCAACCGGCCTCTTCATCAACAATGAATTCGTAGATTCCTCGGCCCCAAATAATACCATATCCTCGATAGATCCGGCCACGGAACAAGAAATCGCAGCCGTGCAAGCCGCAACAGCCCAAGATGTAGACCGCGCGGTGCGAGCCGCGAAGAAAGCACTGAAAAGCCCAGAATGGAAGAACATGTGCGTTACGCAACGCGGGCGCCTCATGGCCAAGCTCGCAGACCTAATTGAAGAGAACAAGGAATTGCTTGCTACGATTGATGCCTGGGACAACGGTAGGGCAATTGTACCCATACACATACAAAGACAAACACGAGCATGTTGCTAACATGTGCATAATCCCCCAGGAAAACCGTACCACGTAGCCCTCAACGAAGACGTGCCCGAGTCCTTCTCCACAATCCGGTACTACGCAGGATGGTCCGACAAGCTCTCTGGCCAAACCATCAGCACGACGCCGCAGAAATTCGCATACACGCTGCGCCAGCCGGTAGGCGTCGTGGCGCAAATCATACCCTGGAACTACCCGCTATCCATGGCATGCTGGAAATTGGGGCCTGCGCTCGCGTGCGGCAACACAGTTGTGCTGAAAGCCGCGGAGCAGACGCCGCTGTCGATTCTCGTGCTGGCGACGCTGATTCGGGAAGCGGGGTTTCCGGCTGGCGTGGTGAATATTTTGAATGGGCTTGGAAGGGAGGCTGGTGCGGCGCTGGTGCAGCATGCGCTGGTGGACAAAGTGGCGTTTACAGGGTCGACAGCGACGGCAGCGCAGATCATGAAGATGGCGGCTGGCGGGCTGAAAAACATCACGCTGGAGACCGGGGGCAAGTCGCCGTTGCTTGTATTCGGCGACGCAGACATGGAGCAGGCGGTGCGCTGGTCGCACATTGGCATCATGTCGAACCAAGGCCAGATTTGCACGGCGACCTCGCGCATACTGGTCCAGGAATCCGTTTTTGAAACCTTCATGGCCTTGTTCCGCGAGCAAATCAAAAAGGTGTCCGTCATTGGCGATCAATGGAGCGAGAGCACGTTTCAGGGCCCCCAGGTGACGAGGCAGCAGTACGACAAGGTGCTTTCGTATGTCGACATTGGCAAGTCAGAAGGCGCTGTGCTGGTCGAAGGTGGAGCGGCGTGCGAGGGGCAGGGCTACTACGTCAAGCCGACGGTGTTTACAAACGTCTCGCCTAGCATGCGCATCTACAGAGAAGAGATATTTGGTCCATTTGTCGTCATTGCTACTTTCGTGAGTGAGGAGCAAGCAATAGATATGGCAAACGACTCGGCTTTTGGTCTCGGCAGCGCAGTCTTCACGAGGGACCTGGAGAGAGCACATAGAGTTGCAGCAGAGATTGAGTCGGGTATGGTGTGGGTGAATAGCAGCCAGGACTGCGACTATAGGATACCGTTTGGCGGTGTCAAGCAGAGCGGCATTGGACGTGAGCTGGGAGAGGCTGGACTCGAAGCCTACACGCAAGTCAAGGCTGTACACATCAACATGGGCAATAAGCTGTAGATGTGGCTGATATACAAAAATCATGTCAATCGCTGCCCAGACTCGTAACACGTGACATCATGCCTCGACAAAACACTGTTTGACTTGTTCATTTCGTACGGAATGCGGAACATCGATCGTAGGAAAAGACCGACTAAACTCCACCCATGCAGTGCTTGACGCTCATTCATACAGGCAGCCATTCTTCTGCGGCCCCTCGTTCCAAAGTGAATTCTCACTGTGCATCCATGTCATCACCAATCGTCATTACGTAACAAGGGGTATCGAATGCATCAGACATGTCCCGGTTATTGCGTCGTGCTCGCTCGAAATACGCTTCAATAGCTCTAAGGCGAGGAACGGGGGTTCTTGGTAAGCTTGTTCAGAGCACCCAGCAAGCCTGTCGTCATGGTCAGCATCGTGTATCCACCAGTCAAACATATACTTACCAGTCGTTCCGTTGGGGAGCGTCGACATGGCGATGGAATTTCGGTCGCCAACAGTGACGGTCTGGACGTTGGGAACAAGGGAATCGTCCTTCAACTGCTTCGCCCAGTGGAAGATGCCTTCGTCACTGCGATCGTTGCCCGCAGCAAGGAGGAAGTCAGGTCGGGCGTCCTCTGGGTACTTGTTGAAGATGTGCTGGGCTGCAGAAGCCTTGTCAAAGTCAATTGGCTCAATGACTACTGAATCCTTGGTGGGGATTGCCTTGACGCGCTGCTGCTCGCATGCATCGTTGATGTGGTTCGCACAATCACCGGCATGTCGGCTTGCAGAGTCGTCCTTGTCGCTGGGCTTGTTGTAGTGGAAGATGATGGAGCAGTGGCGCTCCTCGACCCAACTGCCCTCGACACGCTCGAGGTAGTACTGCAAGATTGGCTTGACCGAGTCCTTCCACTTGACCGTCTTCTCCTCGTCAGGGAACTGGATCCACTCTTTCACGCCAGGCTCACGCAGGAAGCAACCGTTCTCTGCAATGAGGCCAAGGCCACGGACGCGGTTGAAGATGAGCTCAGTCTCTCGAACTGTGCGACCAGTCATTACATAGACGGCGTTCCTCTCATCAGAAACAAGATCATTCAGCACAACAATAACACGCTCGGTGTTAGCGAGAATGGTGTTATTGACGGATCCGTACGACGCGAGAGTGCCTTCGTAGTCTAGAACGAACAGTCGCCTCTGAGACTCCTGGTAGGCGCGCGCAAGGCTCGACGCAGAGAGTCGGGGAATCGACATGGTGTCGCGCTTGAACTGCTCCTCATAGACCTTGGCGAGGTGAGTACTCAGCTTGTTGACCCAGATATCACCAGTCTGATTCATGACCATGTTGCGCATCTTGGTGAACCTCCTCTCCTTCTCGTCATCCTTCATCTCCAGGGCGATGCGGAAAGCTTCGGCAATGTTGTTGTAGTCCCACGGGTTGATGGCGAGGTCTGCGCCATCAAAAATGGATGCACTACCAGTAAACTCGCTGAGAATGACGGGGCTATGCTTCTTCTCGCCTCCGCGCCCGTCCTGACAGATGACAAACTCGTGGCAGGTCAAATTCATGCCTTCGCGGAGACTGGTAATGGCAAGTGCATCGGCAATGGAGAGCAGTGCGAGGTACTGTGAAAAGGAAATATCCTGTCGGAGGAAGATGAGAGGGTTGTGCGTCAGGGTCGAATGGACTGCGTCGATGCGCGTAACAATCTCAGAGACGGTCGCAGCCAGCTCAGTGTCTTCGGTCGTGGAGGTTGCGACCTGAATCATGACCACTTTGTCTTTCCACTCGGGATACTTGTTGAGGAACAACTCAAAGGCCAGCAGTTTTTGGCGCACACCGCGAATGTTGTCTAGCTTATCGCGAGCAACAATGACCTTCTTGCCCTCGTACCGCTTCTGCATGGTCTGGATCCACTCCAGCACCTCGGGCTCTTCTCTGGCGAGAGAGAGGGCACGAGGATCAATACCAATAGGCGAGGACCAGACATTGACGAAGCGGTTCTCAAGCTGAACACCATCCTCGGTAGCCTCTACAGACAGAATGCGGCTGCAGGTTTGCAGGAAGTGGTGGGCGTATTCTGGCGTCTGGAAAGCAACCAGGTTCGCTCCGAGCATGCCATCGAGAAGCTCTTTTCGAGCGGCAAGGCAGCGGAATACCTCGGACGATGGAAAGGCCGTGTGAAGGAAGAAGCCAATCTGGGCATCGGGCAGCTTTTGGCGAACCATTTGAGGGACAAGACACAAGTGGTAGTCATGGACCCAGATGACGTCTCCACGCTTGTAGTTTTTGACCACCTTATCGGCAAAGGCCTGGCAGACCTTGACGTAAAAGACCCAGGAGTGGTCGAGGAAAGCCTTGCTCTTGGGGTGGTCAGGAATAATGTAGTGGAAGACTGGCCACAGAATGGTCTTGCAGTAGTGGGCGTAGTGACCGTCAAAGTCCTTGTCGCTGACAAAGACGGTCACGGCATCATGCTCCTCCTCGAGCTTCTCGTAGATTTCCGTCTTCTTCTCTTCGTTGAGGCTGTCTGTAGGGAAGCCAATCAAGCCAACCGTGATGGTATCACTAAGGCACTTGTTGTCGACTGCAGCACGGAGAGCGTTGGTGAGGCCTCCGTTGCCCTGGACAGCAGGCACGACGCGGTACTCGGTGGCCCACCTGGGGTCGGTTACTGGCTTTCCAGCGTGGGAGCCCTTCATGCGCTCCTTTTGGGCCTGGGCCCGCTCCTGCGCCTTTGCGTATTCGAGAATCGTGTCTGGCGGAGCGGGGTCGGCCATTGAGACGGGCTGGTTGAAGAAGAGGCCGCTGCCACCCCACTCGGGGATATGGGCATCGCTACGGACCAGACCCCGGGGGTCTGCAGCGTTGGGGAAGTGGGTGGCGGCGCTGGGCTGGCCCGGGGTGAAGAAGTCTTCGTGGTCCGTCATGCGCATCGATGCCTTGGGCAGCTGGATGTGCGAGGGCGGCGCACGCTTGAGGAGGCTCTGGGGTTGGTCTTCATTTTTGATGGAGGTTGTCCGTGTGATGGGTATACTCGAGGTAGACGGCTGGCGAACCGTCTCGCCTAGCTGGGTAGGGGCGGGCTGGGGCGGGCTCGGGGGGTTGGACTTGTTCTCTTGGAAGTCGACGGTATAGGGTAGGAAACTAGCTGTATTAGATGAATCGAAGACATGTAGCTACCAATTCAGACGGTGCCCAAGAAAGAAAAGAAGAGGCAAGAAGAGAAGGCAAGGAGAAGGAGAAGGAGAAGAAGAAGACGCCGTGGCCGGACTGAAGGAGCAAAAGGTGGTTACCTACAGAGACACGACATGTGTAGTCATGGTGGGCAGCAGATGGGCGTTGCAGCTGGCCAGGGATGGGGTGTCGCAGAGACGGCGGGGGGGTAGTGATGGCAGTCAAATATAGGTGCGGAAAGCGGAGCCCGTTCCACGGCGGGCTGCGGGGGTCGAGGTGAAGTTATAGGAGTGGGAGTCGTCGAGGCGGTGGGAGGGAGGACGGCGTGGAATTTCCGGCAGCTTCGATGGATCGTGATGGAGCAGTTCCCAGCAAAGGCGTCGCAGCAGTTCGGCCTGTCGACCTGGAGGGGGCGCCCAAAGCAAGCAAGCGCGAGTAGGGGTGGTTTATCGCGCTGTACACGTACGGTAGCAGCTGGGCTGGGCTGGATGCGTGGCGGGCGGGCGGGCGGGCGGGCGTGCAGGGAGCTTGAGTTGGATGGTGGATGTAGTGGCGGGCGCAATTTGCAGCATTGCCCGACCCCTCCCTTGGATTTCCCCCCCGCGGCGGGCACTCAGCATGACGTATCCGCGCAACACGGGCACCGACACAGAGCTGCGACACAGAGCCTCGCCGGTGGGCCGCCCTCTCCACCGTGTCGCCGCGCATTCGTGCAATCCGCGCGACAGGAAAAAAACTTGCCTCGACTCGCCGGGCCATCATCTTTACGTGAGCTGCACGAAATGCATCCCAAGACCGGTTGAATGTGTGCCCGCGCGCCCAACAGGTGCGCCAATTCAATTCCCGCTGCCTAGCCGCGCATCGCCCACCGTACATGCGTAGTCGACGCGCCAATGGGAGACGATGCGATACCGTGGTCGCTGTCGCCATGACTGCCGAAGTGCTGCCCATGCACATGGCTTTGACGTGCGGCCAGACGATCTTGTTGTAGATGCAGGCGAGGGCGAGGGGCGGGCTGGTGGAGACGGTGACAGCATTGGGCAGCCTAGTAGCAGCACGCCGGCAGAGAAAGCCGTCATGGCATTCTCCAGGAATGCCATGTCACGCAGAGAATTCCATATTGGCCCGCCTCCTCCCCCCCCACCCAGCCACGGCATCGCCCAGGCCTGACGTGCCCATGATAATCCCAAGTACAGCCTCTTCACCTATGTATATCTATGCAGTATAGACAAGAGCGTGCCATGTCCCCTCGGTCCAAGGCGCCGGCTCCGAGCCGAGAGGATGCTCATCAGGGAAGACGAAAAAGGACTTGAAGACGCACTACGTACTACATGGCAAAGCATGACATCAGCTGACTCGATGCTGGCCGTGATGCCGCGGGGCAGATGATTCAGTGGTTTGGATACCCTCTGATGCCCTCTGCTCTCAGCATCATGTGAGCCCCACTACCACGCTAGGTATGTTCGTGTACGAGTAGTGTATGTCGAGCACCGACAATAGCCCCGGCCCCAGGCGTTCCTCCTCGTACCCGTTGGCTCAAACACTGCATGATCAACAGCGTAGTAGTACCGTGCGGGATGATGACAGGACCAGGACTGCCGCCATGTATGATCGACGGCCATCGGCTTCGTTGCCCAAACCCACCTCACACCACGGTGTATACAGCAGTGTCTCAACTCCCGTGGGAGACGCCCAATCAGAATTCTCCGCCGCCTTCTCTTACTTGCCGCCACACGCAACAGTGTTTCCTCTAACGCAATTGGAGGGAGGGAGGGAGGGAGGGAGGGAGGGAGAGAGAGTTGAGATACGGGTGCGGCGTGGTACAAAAGGCATGGCTCGTCGTCGTGTGTCGTGCAGGCCCCTTGCACCGAGCTGAGTCGCCGCACGCACATACTTACTAGACGCGGTAGGAATCCGCCTATTTCCTCCACCAAGGCGTACCCTCGTGTACACACACGCCCTGCCCAGCATGCACGGCGCTCTCCCCCAGGCGGCCACAACCCACGCACCACGGCAACGCACACGACACGGCCGCGCGCCCACGCCCCAGCGACCAGCAGAGGCGGGCGTCGAGACGAGACCCTGCCCGCGCCCGGCCGCTGAATCGTAGGCCATTGGCGGAACGTGCCCACGGCGATCCACGCCTTTTGCTCCAAAACTGCCTTGTTGGGAAATGGCCCAAGAGTCTTCGCAAAAAATACCCTCTACGAACAGAACTGGTACGGACGTCCGGACTCGCAACATGGGCGCGCCCCCACATTGCCTGCCAATCCCACCCAGGGTCCGCACACGCTACCTGGCCAGACTTGTTTTGAGCGCCGTTTACGCACCCATTTTGAAGAGAGAGAAAAAGCGATTGGAGAAAAAAGCGAGACAGAAAAAACCCCGGCTTTCGTCCTATACGTGTACATGCTGTTCTTGTTCGGCTACTTATTATACACGCGCCTCAACATCACGCCTTCAACACCGGATCCACCCCCAAGACCAAAACACACCACACATACATATAATAATGGGGCTTCGGTATAGGGCAAATAACACGTCCTCGATAAATTAACTGACCTATGCGTTCGCTGAAAAAGACTACTAAACTCGAACCAAATCCATGCACTGTGCTCTTCTCTCCCACGTCCCTCTTTCTCTCTCGCCTGCTTTAGCCTGTTGCCGGCAAAAACTAGAACCATGCTTGTGTGAGTGTGTGTGAGTCTGAGAGTGTGTGCGACGTCAAATACAAAAGGCCTCCCCCCGTCTAACCTGTCCATGCTCAGTGCTTCTGCTGCCACCCTCCATGTGCCTCTGTGAGTTGCATAGTCTGTTTTTTTTAGTGGTTTACTAGATGGGCAGCAGTACCGTCACACACACTCTCTCTCCTCCTCTTTCCTTTTATCCTTCTCTCGTTCTCGCTCTTTGGCCCCGAAAAAACAGCCAATCTCGTCATGACAATAGCCTCCCCCCCATCCCTCAGTACCCAGACATGCGCTCCTGGTACTGCAGGGAACCGCTAATAGGATGCTAGTCATTCGAGAAAAAGGTGGGACCGGAAACAAACTGCCCATCGGACCCTGCAGGTTTACCATGGTTTGAAGGGGGGGAACAGAAAAAAAAACAGACTAACACAGCCCTTAGGGACCTGAAACCTATGCCTCCTAAATGACATCCTTGGCACCTAACACACATACACAACGCGTGTTTTGCCCTTCCCTTTTTTTATATATTATTTCGCTGCCTTCCAAGGCTCACTCCAGTCTTGCCTCCTGCACATGCACGCTCACACGCCGGTTGTCCATGACGGCCTCGCAGCTCAGCGCCCCGTTGGCTAGCTGCTTGTACTTGACGTCCTCGCTGTTGCCCAGGCAATTCTCGAGAAAGTACTGCGCCGCAACCTCGTTGGCGGCCACCATGCTCCGGCAAGACCCCATGACAACTGTGTCGTCGCCCGCCCGGCCCGTCGCCCGGCTGCACACAATGTGGTATATGGTCCGTCCGTCCTGCGCCCGCGACGTCGACTTTTGCGAGTACAGCGCCTCGCGCAGCGCAAGCGGGTACGTATTGATGTCGCCCGACACCGTCTTGGTCGGGCTGCGAGCCACAATCGCCGGCCCCATGGCAGACGACCGCGGCGGCTGCTGCTGCTGCTGCTGCTGGGGCGGCGGCAGCGGAGGAGGCTGCGTAAAGGCTGGGCGATGGGCGAGGGCGGGCGCGGGCGCGGGTCCGCTCGGAACGGGCACAGGGGCCAAATGCGGTTGCTGCTGCTGCCTCTGGTGTTGAAGGAGAAAGTCGCGGTGCTCGTCCAGCTGCGTCCTCAGTGCGTCGCTCGTCGTCTGGAAGATGCGCTCCTGGACGCCTGGCCCTAGGTTGCGCGAATAGTGCCGCAAGTCGGCGCTGCAGTCGAGCTGCAGCAGGCTCTGCTGCCGGTCAAAGGCGTAGGCGCGGAGAGAGGCGGCTGTCGTCA